AGGCTAACAGACCTCATCTAAATTTATAGTAGCGATGTAAGATGTAGAAATGTTAGTAGTAGAAAAGATAGTTGCCTACTTGTTGAATCTTCTATACTATATTGTGATGTGGAAGGGCAATCTAAAGGGGTATAGTAAGTGTGTTGGGTTTTGCATCCTGCTGGTGTATTGCTATGCACTGTGTATGCCATATTGTTTTGTAAATATTCTTAGAAATCTTATACAGTAATTGGGTATAATAATTCTTAGATAAGGTAGTCAGCTTCTGAATATTAGACAGAGTAAACTCTTGTATTGCAGCTATAGAAAAAGTATTGTTAGATAGTGTAAAAAACCTCTGTAGGATTGTAGCAGTTATCTGTTGGTATATCTTTTGCTTGTTTAAAAATTTAACAATAGTATTATGGATAAGTTGGTATATTGTAATTTGGTTTTTGTTGCTGGTAAGCCAGTGAGCGTTGTCTTCGATGTCTGTATAGCACCTGTTACATGTTGGGTTAGTATAAGTTTTTGGGTATCAGAAGTGTAAATTGAGAAGTGTGAACAGTTTATTAAGGAGAAACTAAATTTTGAAGTTTTTTATTTGTGATAATTTAGAATGTGTAGACTGCATGTATAGCTTGTTGTTGTAATTAATATAATTATGTAGTATTTCTTAGTCTGTGTTTTGTCAAAACTGGTTCTAGATCTGAGCTCTGTTTAAAGAGTGCTACCTGGCTATATTGTTTGTATTTTGTATATGTCTAATAAATCAGCGAGTTTTGTATTCGACAATTGTATTCTTCCAACTTCAGTCCGGTATTTTTCCAAATTTGGAAATTGATTATCCACATAGTAAAAGAATTTTCTAGAATGATTTTTCATGTAAACAATAGTATTTAATAGTATTTTTTTTACATTCATAAAAATTTCACATAACAAAATATTTCAAAATAATTGGTATAGAAAACCTTGGTGAAGCATGCAGTTTAGAGATCCACAGAGATCCACAGGGCTTAAAAATACAGTTGTCTCACAATAAAATACACAAACGCTGATTGGTACAAATTCAGCCTCATAGAAGTATTTAGAATCATCTTTTTGCAGAACTGTTGCTAAAAAAGGAGCGATCTTCATATACCAAATTTGGAAACATCTCAGACTAAACTTATAAAGAAGTTGTTGTATGCAGTGTTGTTACAGAACAGTTGTGGATAGTAAGTTTGGACACTTTGAACAATTT